ATATATATATTACAAATAGATTTTTTGAAAAATGAGTTAATACAAAAAAGAGAATATCAAAAAATAATAAAAATTGAGATGAATACATTAATTAAAATAAATTTACATACCTGTCGAATCACAAAAGTAGTAATCACTAGTTATATTTTATAATTCATCCCCAAGAAGTGAACCCACCAAAGGAAACACACTGTATTCCTCCTGTTCTGATCTTGAGTCACAACGAAACTGGATGCAAAAACAAACTCTCCATGTTTACCGGCGACCTACTTCGATCACCGCCAGAGGGCGGTCTTACGTTGTCGTTTTCAGCAGTGGGCTAGTAGGACGGCCTCGATTTCTCTTGCTATTTAATTCATTTTCAAAGCTGAATAAAAGTTGGCAAGAAAAATCATCATCTTACCAAAGGTCGTGATATTCCTGCTCAAATTTTCTAACTGCCCTCAGGATAAATCAAGAAAAGAATGTCCGGTTGTTATTTTGCGCCATTTCCACTCTTGGTATTTTGGCAGATATATTGTGTATAAAGAGAGATATTTTTTGGGGCGAAATAGGTCTCTTCCCTTTCAGCATTCCATTTCGATCATTCGATTTTCTTTTCTATATCCAGAAAAAAACTTTTTTTTTTTCAAATAATTTAGCATGAATCGCGTGTGTGTACAATAAAACCAATTATGGATTTTTTAGAAAAATTTTATCTTTAAAAAAAAAAATGTCACTCATTTTAGTGTTTTTAATAATTAGGATAAAATGTTAATTTTTGAGTTAAAGCAAAAATTGCTGTTGACATGCTGGTTCAAATGGGATGACATGAGATTTAAAACTTTAACGTTCTAAAATAATTTTTGCAGATAGTTAACTTAGAGTAAAAAANAAAAAAAAAAAAAAAAACTGACTTGTTGCCTCTCTAATGGTGTATTCAAAGATTAGGGTACTTTTTTTGGAGGGGTTAAAGTCGAAATTAAATTATAATAAGTTCTCGTTGGCGAATGAAAAAATGTCGGAGGAATAGCAGAATAATCTTAAAATTATTTATACTTAATCAGCACGTGTATCTAGTCTGCCACCCACTTAAAAACTAAAACTTTTAGTGTACTAAATGAAGTGTGTTCTTATCTTATTGATTGTACGAAACTGTTTTTTTTTGCTCAAAANTTTTTATTTTTTTTTTTTTTAAAGGAAGAAAAAAAGACCAATTTGTTTCATGATTCTGTTTTCAAAACAAATTCATAAACGTGATAATAATACACACCATGTAATTTTTTCTAATCATCTAAATTGAAATTTAGCTTTTGCGCTTATAAAAGTTTTTAGTACTTCTTCAATTGCTGATTAAAGAAATGTTACGTCAATTGCAATATCTGTAAACTTAATTTTTTTAAAATGCCTTTAGAACTTCTCTTTTTCATCGAATCCTCCACCGAGCAGCTAATCTTCAATGAGCTTTTCATTTCGATTCTAATCTTCCACAAATGCTAAGTATAAAAAATATTAGTAGATAAATAAGATTTATTTTGGGTAACTCTAATTTTCATTAAAAAGAAATAAGTACTATATTATTTTTGAAACAATACTAAGTCGAATAAATGGAAATTTACTGATAGTGAAATGCAAAATAACAAAAAATACTTTAAAAGAACAATCAAATTCAATGCATTGTAGGCTAAAAAAATAAACGAAACACCTTGAATAACTTTTTTCAGGAGCCACGACTCAATCTTAAAGGTTCGAAAGAGTGACTTTAAGCATGCTAATTAATTAGAGCAGACGATTTTTTCAAGTTACGAAACCAGACACGAAAACGTTCTTTCTCTGAATAATCATACCTTTTTCTTTGACGGATTTGGATTTCTGACAGTAAAAATATCGGAGGTAGCAGCAATCTGAGAAATATGATTCCAATAGATTGGTCAGGAGAGCGATCGAAAGATCAGACCCCTTAATCTTAATTTTATTTTTTGCATATTCTCGAGAACGTTTTAAGCGAATTGAAATATTCTTGCTTACAATTATAAAAATCGTTTATACAGAGATAATTTCATGATATAACAGAGATAATTTCAGAGATATTCTAGAGATACGCAAAAAGTAAAACTAACATTAAGGGTTCCAAACTTTGAACAGCACTTCAAACCAAACAATTGAGACCATATTTCTCAGATTGCGGCTATCCCCAATATTTTTAAGGCCAGAAATCTAAATCAGTCCGGAAAAAAAAGATATACTTATTTAAAGAAAGGAAAGCAAGTTTTTGTGTCTGATTTCGTAACTGAAAATATCATCTGCATAAAATAACTAGCATATTTGTGATCACCTCCTCGAACAATTAAGATTGAGTCCAAGTAGTACTTTAAAATCTGATCATTGGCTTAAAAGTTATTCTCGGTGTTCGTTTATTTATTTATTTTATTATTAATATTATACTGTGCAGTGCTAAAAAAAAAGAAAATTCTGAATAACTTTTGATCTAATAATTGGATTTTCACGAACTGAGACTCAATCTTAATCTGAGGTTAAAGGGCGTAAACTTAAATATTTTAAATAATTAGAACAGACGATATTTCAGTTTACAGAATCAGACACAAAAACTTATTTAATCTGAAGAAATATACCCTATTTGTGGAATATGGATTTCTAACCTTCAAAATATAGGGTCTCCGGTATTTCTGAAAATACAGTCCCGAAAGTTTGATTAGGAGGACGGTCGAAAGTTGGCCATTTAATATTAATTCTATTTTATGCGCATTTCGCCTTGTCTCGAGAATTGTTTTAAGCGAATGGACCTTTCTTTCTTTTTTTTTATTTTTTGCACACAACTATAAAATTATTTAAGTTAAATATGCAAAATATTATTTTTAAATTAATATTTAATATTTTATATTATTTTCTTTATTAATCGACGAAAAAAATTGAGTTTTCAGATATGTTTAGTTGTAAGTTTTTTAAGCACGTAATTTTAAATGGCAATATACAAAATGTGAACGAAATCGATGAAATAGCTTCTGAGTTATAATTTAAAAGAAAATTATATTTAAAGTTAGATTTCTCATGTATTTGACTGCTTTCGTTGAAATTTTGTATTTTGTTATTTAATCGAATTGAAATGTCGTATAAATTTGTGTACAAAAATTCTTTGACTTTTATTTAACATAACAATAAAAACAATTAAGTATTACTTAAAGTTATATTTAAAGTTATATTTTGGGTGGAATTATTTTTGGATAAGCAAATTTTATGATTGTGTGTAAAATTTTTTGATTCGCTTAAAAAATTCTCGAGATAAGACGAAATACGCAAAAATGTAAAATTGACATAAAGTTGCCCTAAATTTTGATCTTTCTCCTGATCAAACTAATGGGGCCATATTTTACGGATTACTCCTTTATACTTAGGTAGACAAGAATCCGAATCCGTCAAAGAAAAAAAAATATGTTTAATCAGAGAAAGCACGTTTTTGTGTAAATTTTCGTAACTTAAAATAGCATCTACATTAATTAATTAGCACATTTAAATAGTAAAACCAGGCCCTGGAACCATTAGGATTGAGCCCTAGCGCTTTAAAATCCGATCATTAGATCAAAAGTTATTCAGGATGTCCACTTTTTGCCCACTATATACAATAAATGAAAGAGTTTTGTCAAAAGGATATTCGGGAAACACTCGCGTTTTAATAAAACATTTAGCTATTATTAAGAAATAGTTTAAAATGCACAATATAATCAGGAAAAAAAAAGAGTAAAAATTACGGAATCGAATATAAACACCATTTTTGAAATAGATTTCAAACGACGCATCAGGCGACAAAACTTAGCAGCCTAGAAAATATTAAACTCTTATTCCTTTTGTAATTTTTTCTATTGATTTTTATAAAACAAATAAATAATCAAAAAATTTTAAAAGATTTTTGCTAGATTGTTCGTCTTTAATTATTTAAAAACTAAAATAATAACAGAATAACAAATATTATGCTGCGCAGTTTAGAAACTTACGCACAAAATTTTATCAAAACGTGTAGAATTTTTTATTCGCTCTGTAAAATTGTATTCTGAAATTACTAACGTTTTTCTGAGATTTCGCTATGAGTTTTCACTTCATTAAAAGTTCCGTTCTAGACGAAAAAAGCAATTTTATTTGTAATCTCTGAAAATTTTCATTTTAATCTTAAAAAAATAAAAGGAATCAGTCTGATTTTGCACATGACAACAGTTTGCTGCCCATGCAGTTCGTTTCATTTTGCGATCTCTAATAAATTGTGTTTTTCAAGTCATTATAATAAACGCTTAGAAGTCTCAACTGTGTTAAATTTTATTACCTTGTTTCTTCCGATCTTTTGCGCCTAATTACTAAGTGAGTACCTTATTTTTTTACTATTTGTTGCAGTCTTTAAAATGTATTTATCGAATTCAACAGTAAATCTTTTATATTATCTTCAAAAGATTACTAACTGTACTACTTAAGTAGAAATAAATTTTTACCTTTAGTCCAGCTGTTAAAATTTGTAAATATACTGTAAATACTTTGCTGATTCAAATTCTTCAGCTTTCACTTTTTCAACTTCTATTGTTGATTTTAATCAGTAGCTTCTTCTATGTAGTAGAAGAAACTACTTCTATGTTGTAGTTTCTTCTATTGTTGATTTAAAATGGGTTTTGTAACTACTCTGATTTTAATATTGTTTTTTTTTATTTTAATTTGTTATGTTATATATTTTTCTATCATATTCAGTTCACTTTACTCTACTTTTACAATTTATAATAGACATTTTCGGGTACAAAGTTATATTTTTAATATGGTGTTAGTATAGTACATTAAGTACGTGCAATTCAATTTAAAATTTAATTCAGATATTCCACTTCGAAAAATTATTTTTTTTATGAAAATTCGGCTATAAAAAGGTCTGAGGATATTTGTAGCAAGTGTTTTTGAAAGAGATATTTAAAACATTTATAACGTGCATATAGAATCCATTTAATTTTTTTTTTGCCGATTTTGAAACATCACATGTTTAGACTTAAATGCAAAATGACTTCATTGTAAAAAAAGTAAATCAGTTTGTAAATTATTTTTATTTTTATTCAAATGAAACGTAGTGCAATTTACAATAATTCTAACTTATTTTTTTAAAAAAAATACTAAAATATTTTATACGTAATAGCTGCGTCCATAATGATGGAATTTCCCAGCGATAAAAACATACGGGATAATATCAGTTATTAAAACTAAAAATATATATGCCTAAGACAGAAAAGCTATATCTGT